TTCATGTTCCACATGTACAAGGATGTTTGGTCTCTAAAGAAAAGCTGAATCCAGATCATTCCTCAGAATTAGAATCAAGGACAGTGCCAGACAGACACATACTGGTACAATGAATTGTTTCCTTCTGAAAGCAGGACTTGACTTTTGTTGGGGGAACAGAAGAAGGACGATATGGGGAATCCTATCCCATTCTCCTTCTGAATCAGCTGGAATGATTGGCTTCGGGAAGGCAGGGCAAGGTGGAGAGACTGTGCCCTGCTTTGGGAAGGGCTCAGCTCTCACAGGTAGCAGGTGGAGTCCTAGATGGGGCCGACCCTACTCAGAGGCTTTCTTGCAGGTGCTGGGCTTTTTCTGCATTCTGAACTGGGCAGCGGCGATGATCTGTGGAAGCAGGTTTCTTTGAGTCCCTTCTTCCATCCTTTTGGCCTGCTCCCTATAGGAAGTCATCCAGCCAACTCTTTAGCCAGCTGTTGTCAACCTTACAGGCATGAGTACCCTGTGAGACTGTTTTTCCACTCCCTGGGGTAACTGGCAGTTTGAAGGGGACCTTTGACCTCTTCGTAGCATCTGGGACCTTGTGGAGGCCATGTCAGTGCAAGCCCTGCTTAGCTCATCTTAGAGCAAAGAGCCAGCACCCTGATGCCCCAGGGTAGCTGGGCAAGGATGGTATGGGGCCAATTCCCAGACCCCTTCAGCCATGGGACTCTGGCCTATGCCTTCCAACCCATTGGCCGTCTCTTGTGCTCTTTTCCGCACAGCCTGCAAGGAGTGGCAGGGAGTGGTGGTTAGGTGCCAGTGTAGACTTGGCAATAGAAATGATTTCATGTTGCCATTGTCTGAGTCTGATTTTCACTGATGATGTTTGGTGTGTTTTTGTGGTGGGGGTGCTGGTTATTGATGCTGCCAGTTTCTCCAAAAGTAATGGAGCCTCTAGTCATGTGGCTATTCATATAGACGATCTTCACTTGTGCTTAGCCAAGTGGCTTGGGGAGGATTGGGCTTTGGAATTGTCAGCAACCCTCATCCAGGCTTGTATGTAACTTTTGCTCTAGGAGAAAGTAAATGGGTGGATAGCGGAATGTGCGGGGCATTTCCTGGCTTTCACCTCAGCTACTTGTAGGGGGAATGAAGTCTTAGCCAGGAGGCCAGGCTCAGCCTAGTCCTACTAACTGAAGCCATGCTCTGCAAACCAGCAGAGCTATGTTTCAGGCTGTGGGTTTTGGTGAAGTTTGTCAGAGGCTAATTCTGCAGAGTACCCAAAACTGGAGGAAATTGTGCTTGGTATGGGAGCTGTGCCACTTGCCAGAATGTTGCCCGCTCTTTGCAGACTGGATTGGATTTTCATCAGAGGCCTCTAGGGGCCTCCCTTCTCCTATTGTCCCTGTGCTGCAAACTGCAGGCACCAGGGATCATGGCTGACCTTTGACTCCTTGACTCCAAGATACCCAGACCAAAGAAGCTGCTGTTCTTAGCAAGATGCGCACTGCATTCTGCACAGAAGAAATTGGAGAGGCAGGGGCTTGCCATATAGCCTCCCAGATATCAGACACGTGACGCCCCCAGTGCTACAGCTGCTTACCCTGTGCAGGCTCCTAAGGATATCAAAGAACAAAGTGCTCGGCTCTTTCCTACTTTGGGCGGGACCTGGAACTTGGAAACGCTCCCCGTCGGAGGCTTGGTCAGCTCTGGGCCAAGTCCCAGCCCTAACTGCTTCTGAAATTTGGGGTGTACAACAGCCCCTGGAGTGAGCCTCGCCTGGTTAAACCAGGTCATGGAATGGAAACTGTGAGGCCCGCGCCTGCTCCGGAAGGAACATCTCCTGGAAAGGCCTCGTTGTCTCCCTCTAAAACTGTGTGGCCTGCTCCTTGGACTCTGCTGTTCATGGTGGGGACCCTGCCCCTCCCTCGGCATCACCACCCAGGTCTGCAGGAGTCCGCTTAATGGCTGCTGTTAGTCTCCTTTTCATCCAAACAGTCACTGGCTTCTTCACTCAACCCCTTCCCGGACTTCAGGTCGGAGAGCTCAGAAAGAACCATTGCTTGGGGTTCAGGGCCTCCCCACAAGGAGCCTTGCAGGATGGCAGAGCCATGGCTGGCTGGAACCAAACAAGGGAGGGGCCCGGGGCCTCATCACCTGGTACCTGCCTCAGGTAACTGCTGTTGGAGAACATCTCAAGGTGTGGCCCTCACTCCACCACCGGTACTCCTTGCTGGCACTGGGCTTTTGGATTCCCATGTTTCTGGATGTTTACCTCCTGCCTTTGGATTGATTCTGCATTTGACTCCTGACCCTGTGGCAAGTTCTCACAGCCTCCGGTCTCTATGTGGGGAGTGAGCTGGGTAGAAAGAAGGTCTCAGCTCTGGATTGAGGTCTGTCTAGGGTTGTTACTCCACATATGCCTACTTTCGAAGACGCTGGCGTCTGGTTTGAAGGCCGGCCCACACCAAGCCTCTTCAACACCTGGGTTTATAGATTTCGGGCCTTGCCTACACCTCCCTTCTAACTGCCATTGCCCCCACCCTTACTTGCTGGCTCACTGAAGCCCAAAGGTGAGTGTCCCTGTGGTCTTTGACTCTTTGCCTAAAGATGACCAGCATTTAACCAACCCAGGGGATGCCCCGAAGGCCTGGAGCTGCAGTCTAGGGGAGGGAGGGGCAGTTGGGCAGAGCAGGAGGGCGGAGCAAGTCTGGCCAGAGCCTGCTGGGCCAGGGGGAAACCTTGTGGCCTGGCCCACCTGCCCCAGAACCAGGGGAGACCCAAGGCTTCAGTTCTGCCCTACTCTGCTGTTCATGGTGAAGGCAGGCTTGCAAGCAGACTGTCCCAAGAGAGGCTGTGCGGGACGATTTCACTGATTTAAATTAAAAAATACTGACTCTAGGTGAGGTGCCGCATCTGGGAACGGGAGGGGGGAGCTTCACCTTTTTCGTCTTGGCTTTTCTCTGGGCCGTGGGAGGGGCATCCATTTCCAGGGTTGGGGACGGAATACCAAATGCATTGTTGTTCCGCTTGATACATCTCACTTGTTTCTAATAAAGGAAGCAGCTGAATAAAACCCTTTTGCCCTCCTGGTTTTCCTCTGGACTGCAGGTGTCCGTGGGACAGAGGAGTCCCCAGCCTGGGCTAGAGCGCCCTCTCTTCCTGAGGGCGACAGTGCCCTGTGGGAAAGGCCCTTGTGACCACAGCGCTGGGACAGCTTTTGAAGACGCCTTTGGCAAGGCTGTCCTTTCAAGGCAAACTTGGCTCTTTTCTTCAGACCTCTCCACCCACCAGCGAGAAGCTGGGACCGGCCCAGCTTCACTCCCTGTAAGAGCAGTGGCCGGGCTCTGGGCCAGGCTTCCACAGCTGGGGATAGCAGCCCTCCTCGGCAGGGTCAATGGTGGCTCCTCTGAGGGAGGGCACTGGCACCGCCCCTTCCCACTTGCCCGGATGCCACATTGTCCCTCTGGGCCAGGGGCTGGGTGGTTCTGTTGAGCCACCCAGGGTGTTTTTAACACTGCAGGTCAGTAGGCCCCACTGCACATCTACTGAGCCAGCTCTCTGAGGAAGAGTCTGAGTAACCACCTAGACTTCCCACCAACTCTTCTCTCCCTCTGGAACTTTTCACTCATTCCCTGGCCCCATGTTCCTTTCAGGCCCCCATGGCTAGTGCCTCTGAGCCCCTTTCCAGGGAGCCTGGGCCCTGAGCTGCAGCCTGAGAGGACCTGCCTTCAAGAACCACTGGCAAGCTCTGCCCATGTTCAGTGTTGCTGCTGTTGCTTGGTGGAACCCACATTTAACTCCAGAATGTCACCTTTCTGACAGGTTTTCTCTGGATTCTGTCATCTGGTGACTCGGCACAATCTCCCATCTCCAGAGGCAGCCTGGAGCAGCCACTGCCTTCCAGGCCTTTGTCTAAAAGACTGGTTGGCTGGTGGAAGGTGAGCCCCAAGTCTGAGATTTGTCTACTGAGTAGACAGGGACCTTAAACCCCACTTAGCCTGGAAAGTGGGGGTCTGTCTGAGGCCCCTCAGAGTCTCCATCCCCTTAAGGGCCATAACAGTTATTTTCTGGCAGAAGCCCATCCAGCTGCCTCTTCTCTATTCAAGGCCCCTCATAGGGTTGGTGGGGCGTCTTGTGATGCTGGCAGCAGCTTTAAGCTAAGAGCAGGGGTCAGGGCTATTTTGAGCTATGGCATCTCAGAACCCCCTGGCATCTAGACAAATCCAAACCCTGCTGGAGGAAGAGGCCCAGGGGACTCCCTCAGCCCCAAACCTTCTCATCAGCCTGGGTGTAGCATCAGAGGTAGATAGGCAGCGGGTGGCTGTGGTAAAATAAACTTGCTGCTTTATTTTTTAAAATAGTCTTGTTCTAGTGTCCTCTCCAGGGCTCTTCTATGACACGAGCTAAAAACCTACTTCTGGTGTCCCCAGGGCTCCCAGCCCCAGCTCTTCTTTCTTTAACAGGGGAAGGGAGCTCAGGTTCTAGAGCTGGAGGGAGGGGCCCAGGGAGAACCTGAGGGAGAAGAGGGCCTTAGGGGGTGGCCAATGCCTGGGGGTGGCTGGACTTCTTTCAGGGGGCAGAGGGGCTGAGGGCTCAGGAGTCCTGCTCCCCAGGTCTCCTGGCAGCAGCAGGCATGGCTCTTCGTAAGCCACGACGAGGGTGAGCAGAGGACTCGAGCTGGTGCCATCTCAAGGTCTCAGGGTTGCAGGGAAAAGATCGACCACCTGTTCTTCAGAAGGGGCCGAGGCAACCCTCAGCACCCAGTTGAGACCAGAGCCTGAGCCTGAAACGTGGGCAGGCTGGACAGGCTAGACGGGCTGGTACTCACGCCGCCCCTCCACCCCAAAGGCGGAGAGAGTCTGCCACGGGATGATGCAGACTAGCACCTGCAGAGGCCCTCAGGAGCTCTGGATGCGGATATGGACAAAGAGCGTGGCTGGTGACAGTGAGGCCCCATCCTTGGACAGCAGGTGGATGTGACGGTACCCTGTGGGGAGAGTAACCAGGCTTCAGGTTCGCTGCCCGCCACCCTGCAGGCCCAGGGCTGGCCACATCCCACCCCTGGGGCTGGGGCCCAGCTTGATTTTGGCTCAGGGGAGGCTCCCACAGGAAAATTGTGGCCCTGGTGAACAGGGTCTAGGGCCCCAGACCTCTGTCCCTTCCCATCCTCACCAACCCCACCAACCTTGCTTCAGGCTGTTGAGAGGCAGTGTAAACTGGCCCACAAAGTCATTGGGGGAGGTGGTGTCATAATCTTCTACCACAAACCGGACCAGCACCAGCTCTGGAGCCCGCAACTGGAACTGCAGGGTCTGCCCCCAGCGGGGGTTGAAGCCTAGGGCACAGGCAAGGCAGTCAGAGCCAGCCGGCCCTGGGCTGCCCTGCACCTTCCTGCATCCTCTGCTGTCTGCCCCACCCCACTTCCACTGGAAGGCCCACTCACCGTTGTTGAGCACGTAGTTGGTCTCCTTTCGAGCACAGTCTGCGGGCACCCCGTGGATCTCAACACGCACCAGGGGGTCCACGATGGAGTTTGGCTTCTCAGCGTTCAGCTTGGGCAGCTGCTGTGCAGTCAGCACCTGCGGGGGATGAAGAGGAGCCTCATCCTGGCCCCTCTACCAGGGCGGGAAGCATCCCGCCCTCAGCACTCGCCCTCCTCCCGCAGGACTCCGACTCAAATGCCCTCCCACCAAGCCATCCTCTGCTGTCTCCCTCCACTTCAGGCTGGCTCCCTGTGGACTAGGACCTCCAGAGCCAGCTCTGCCCCCAAAGCTGCTGACCTGGATGGTGAGAGTAGTTTTGGGGGGTCCAGGGCACTCAGGGTCAAAGTTTGTGTCGGGCTCCCGCAGGCAGGCAGGTTTCAGGACGTAGCCACATTGTCCATTGATGAGGAAGCGCCCTGCATTGAGATCCATCTCATAGCCAGGCGTCTGGAAGTTCAGGGCCACTGTGGACATAACAGGGTCAGGACAGGGGCTCTTAGTTGTCCTCTCCTCACTGTCCTCTCCCCAGACAAGCCCTGTGGGCAGAGGACTCAGTTCCTCCCTACAGAGGGCCCAGGGTCCTTCTGTGTGGGTAGTGCTGCCCCCCCCCACCATGGCTTCAGGGGTGTGTCATGGCAGCCAGGGGATCAAGAGCCCACTGTCACCTGGAATCCCTTAAGGCCGGAATGTGGGGCTAAGTGGGGCATGCCAGAGAAGCCCCCACCCTCAGGGCTGGGGCCGGGCCAGAGCCTAGGCCTGAGGAGGCCTGAGATCTCCATACCTACTCCCAAGGGGACCACACTCCCCTCCCTTGGCAGGCTCGGCCTGGGGCTGCCAGGGGTTCATGTGCATCTGTGTGTTGGGTGGGTTTTTTTTTTAACTTTTACCTTCATAAAAAATGTGAGACTTTTACACTGTCAAGAACAAGCGAGCCTGATTTGTGTTCCCCACATATCCTGCTGACAATTCTTTGAATTGTTATTATCAACGACACACTTTTTTCCACCTTCTGGAAAGCAGTGTGGCTACATCACTGCTGGGGCCTCCCATGGCACCCCAGGAGCCACCCCACAAAGCAGCACCCTGCCCACTACCCGCTGTGCTGTCCCACTCACCCAGCTGACAGCCTGAGTTCCACATCTCCTGGGGGCTGTAGTTGGCTGAGGTCATCCGTAGCCCCAGTGGGTAGACGCGGGTCAGCTGATGAGCATTGTGCCTGATGAAGCTGTTTCCTGGGGGAGAGTTGGGGCTGGACTGTGACGGGCCCCTAGGGTGTCCCTCTCCCACGGGCAGGGCCTGTAATCCCTCCCTCAACTCCAGGGACGAGCTGAGAACAAAGGCTGAATTCCCATCCCCATCTCCTCTTCTCTCTGACGCAGTGGGCACAGGAACCTCATGGGGAGGTTACTGAAGTCCAGGGAGAGGCGGGGACCCCCTCCCGCAGCCCTGCACTGCATCCCAGCTCCAAGTCCCCACTTCCTCGACTGAGTGTGCGGAACACCTGGCCCTAGGCTGACATACCCGTCTCTCATTACTCATCCCACATGTGCCCTCCAGCCACACTGGGTTCCTGGAACACTTCCTGTATGTCATGCCTCCAGGCCTTTGTGCAAGCTGCTCTTCCTGTCTGGAAATCTCTTCTATCACCTGGCTGCTTCTTCCTCATACTTCTGTCAGGTGTCTTCTCAGACATCACATACTCAGAAATCCTTCCCTGATTTCACTCCCTTCTGCGGGGCTCCCTCAGCTGCTGTCATGCCCTGCCCGATCACCGCACATCATAATTACCCAGCCATGTCTGGCCCCAACAATAGGCTGTGTTCCAGGTGAAGACAGACAAGCAGCCTCCTTCCCTGAGCCCTCTCTCCTCCACGTATCCCCAGCCCGGTGCTGGGCATGTGCTGGGTACTCATTCCCTGAGCCCCTCATGACCTCTCTACCGCCCCCACCCCGCACCCCACAAAGCCCTCTCAATCTCCTTTCCAGGCCAATTTCAGGATTTGACCCCACCAGGAGCCTGCAGGCTGCCCTCCAACCCCTAGATCCCTGATGTGCCAGCTCCTACCTGCCTCTCGGATGAACTTCTTGGCTTTGCGCTCGCTGAGGGAGCTGACCTGGCAGGGCTGGGGCGGGACAGGGGCAGGGCGCAGGGTCCGTAGGCGGGTGGCACAGCAGTACACGACCAGGGCTGACAGTTCCGGGGAGATCTGCTTGGCCTGGGAAGACGAGCCTTGGGGGGGCGCGCCAGCTCCAGCCCCTAGTCCTCCTTGCTCCCTTCCCTTCCCCAAGCTCCACGGTTATACCAAGCCCCTGCCCAGGCCAGCCCACTCACCCACCGCCTCTGCTCTGCAGCCTCCACTCCCTCTTCTTCTTCTTCCTCTTCCTCCTCCTCCCGGTCTGAGAGAATTCGACCATCTTCACTCCGAGCAGCTGGCAGCTTCTTCCCCTTCACCAGGACCCGGCCCTTCAGCTGCTGTAGAAGCCAATAAAGAAGGATTAAGCCCTCTGCCCTTATGTCAGCCAGCTGGTCAGTCATTCAGCCACCACTGTGTGAGGGGCTAGCTAGGGGTGAGAAGTAGGAAAGGGGACACAAAGATAAGTGGTTTCTAATAGGAAAAACCAGGAAACAACCTATGAGGCCATCAACAGGGAACCGGCTAGTGAGGTCCCTCCAAACATCAGAACACTACATAGCAGCTGTTAAAATGAAGGAGGCAGCTCAGAACTGAAAGAGAAGGCGTCCTCTTCGAAAACGATCTCGCGTGAAAGAAATGAATGTAGAACATGGAATCGCATGATCTTTTTTGTGTAACATTTGAAAGAGAACATAGCTATGGACAAAGGTACATATGCATGGGAAAATTCTGGAAGGACACACAAGAAACCGTTGAAGATGGTTACTTCTTGTGAAATGGTACAAGAGTGAGCCTGAGTGGAAGAAAACCCATTTTCCATTGTATTCACTTATATATAACTCTATTTTTTACCCATATGCATATTTTTTTTTTTATGCCAATAAAAAAATAAAATCACACACACACAAAGGTGAATTACATTCCTTGCATATTTGAGGTCGGAGTCAGAGGAGAGTTTTCTCAAGCAGACGTCCTGAGAAGGCAGATAAAATGTTCTGAGGTTTTGGAGGAAGGGAGGCCATACCACCTCTGGCTAGAATGCTGGGGAAGTTTCTAAGGCCACAGGAAGAGGCGGTTTAGGCTATGCTAGGATTCTAAGCAGGTATTGCTTGGCAAGCCAGATGGCTGGGAGGGGAGCTCCAAGTGGGAGTAAGAGTCAACCAACCCCTTCGAGGTGGGAGTGGCTGAGCTTTCGGAGACAATGTGGGCAGCAAGGCAGAGCAGGGAAGTCAGAGCCAAGGCATGGATGGTCTTGAATGCCAGGTGAGAGGCTGGGGTGGGTTTAGTCAAGAATGGAGAGCAGGGGAGTGACAAGCCCACGGTGTGGTAGATGCCGGATGAAGGGAGGAGCAGGGGCAGGTTAAGGCAGAGAGAGGTGAGGGGTCCTGAACCAGGGAAGTGACATGAGCAGGGGTGGATGTTGGACTGCAGACAGACCCCTCCCCACCCAGGCGAGGGGTCTGGGAGCCTCACCTCTGGGGATGGCAGCTCTTCGGGGTTTGGGGAGTCCAGTGCCTGCGTCACCAGCATGTCCCCTAGGATGGTGCAAAGGTGGCGGGCCATGGCAGCCTGCTGCTCCAGCCCACAGTGGTTCTCGAGGGATAGGATGACAGGGTACGGGGACACCTGTGGAGAGGAGGGGCAGCAACTCAGAGTCACTCACCCCTTCTCTCTCCCTTTCATCCCAACTAGGACCCTTGCTATACCCAGGCCCCAGCCCCGCTCAGGACAGGCAGGCAAGATGGGGCTCTGGAACCCACTCTGGGGAGGACTAAGTCGGTGGGATTGGGACACACGCTGGGGCTGGGAAACGCAGAGCGGCAGATGTCAGATACGGGGCCTCCGGGAAGGGGTGGGCTGTCTGGGAGGCTGAGGGCAGCTGCAGGAATGGTTTTCTTTTATAAATGCTCTTTATATGCTAATGACATTGACCATGTCGTTAGGTTGCAACCTTTTCCCCCAGCTCATCATTTTTTGACAGCAAGATTTGTATAGCTGGACTGAAATTGCAATTTTATGTAGATGCCATGTTAAGCTTCTCTTTTATAGCTCACTTTCTGCGAGTCATGATTAAAATGTCCTTCCCTACTCCAAGGTTTTCTTTTGGAAATTTTGTGATTTTAATACATTGACTAAATATGAGGGTGACAGAAGGGAGCCTCTCACTCAGCTCTATCCTACCCCACTGGCCAGTTATCCCAGGAGCACCTGGTGACTAAGTGATTCTCTGGGCAGGACAAGGAGGTCCCAGGGGCTCACCGTGAAGGCATGGTCGCGCACAGCCTGGATCACGTCTCGGAAGAGGATCTTGGAGGTGAGCGTGTGGCCGTGGTAAATGATGGGTTCCCCTCCTGGCCCCTCCCAGCAGTCCAGCTCCACGCAGCGGCATCCTTGGGCAAAGGCCCTGCGGACAGACAGACAGCTAGGGAAGGTATCATATGGGTGGCACAGAGCAGGGAAATGGACAGGCTGAGCCAGGTGGCCCCTAAGAAGCCCACAGTGGGAACCGAGGCCCCCAAGCTGGGCTCCCAGGAGTGTTCACCGCCACTGTCCCTCTGGTACCTAACGTAGGCCTCGGTGCTGCTGGGGCCCCCGATCTGAGAGTCGGTCAGGTAGGTGTTGTGGGAGGAGGAGATGAAGTAGTGGGCAAGGGGCTGGTCCATGTCCTGGAACACACACGTGTGGGCCGGGTCCAGGGCAGCCCCATCGGGCGACAACAAGTACATCATGAAGCCATCCAGTGTCATCAGCTCATGCTGCTTGGCTACAGGGATGGGCAGGAGAGAACATCAGGCCACATGGGGGGCCCCCGTGTCCAGCCCCAAATGCCCCCAAAGCTCCACTTAGTAATAATGAGCACCTGTCTACTGACTGGACTCTACAAAGTTATGCCATTTAATCTTCAGCCTTACTATGTGACAAAGGTACATTACTATGGCATTTTACAGATGTGGCAGCTGAGTCTGAAAGAGGCAAGATAATCTGGCCAAGATGGTGCCCACAGCCAATAATAGCACAGCACGCTTAGCTGGGAACCCAGACCTGTCAAACGCCAAGACTAGGGCTGTGTTGACCCCAACCCATCTGTCAGACCCCACCTGTCTCGTTGAGCTCATAGTTCTGGATGAGCTGCTGGGCACGGGCCAGCGTGGCTCCGTCCTCGCCCTGGTCCTCCAGGAACTCCAGCAGCTCAGGGGCACTTAGCACGCGGTCCTCGCCTGAGTACCGATGAAAGATCTCCTCCAACTCAGGGCGTTTCAGCAGCCGCCGCAGAAACTCCTCAATCTCAGTCCCTTCCAGCCGCTCATTGTTGGAGTGATCACACTCCTAGAAAGTAGGGGAAGAGATGTAGAGGAGGCAACGCCCTGGGAAAGCTGGCCTGTACTGACACATCTGTCATCTACCACAGCCAGGAAGACAGATGTCCCCCATTTCACAGGTAGAGAAACCGAGAGCTAGTGAGGCTCCCATCTTGCTCAAGTTCATATAGATGGTAACTTGCAGGACCAAGATGCTAAGGAAAGTCTCTTGGGTTCAGTGCCTGTCCCTCTGTACCATGACCTACCCCAAGAAATAAGATGTGGGAGGAAAAATGGTGACCCTGGGGCAGAAATGAGCTCCCGTGCCACAATTTCCTCTCCCATGTGCATACATTCTAATCCTCACATTCCTACGTTCATACCCAGGGTCAAGGAGTATCAAAGAACTGAGGATCCATGTGGAGCTGCTGGCCCAGGGGTACAGGTGCCATGGCTCTCCTGTCTTTCAATGTCAAAGGCTGGTCGCATAGTCAACATCCACACAGGGGTCTGCCACATGCTCTGACTGGGCCACAGATGCAGAATCCAGCCCTGTGTGCCCCTCTCTGTGCTCCTGTGTGTAAGCCGCACATGGTCACCTGTGCAAAGGGTGCCCTATGGACTTAGAGAAATGAAAACTACAGCTTTGCAGCTCACCTGGGAGGGGCAGGGAGGCCTGCGATGCTCTTACCCTTGGACTCTGCCCAAGGGTGAGGAAAGAAGCTCTGGGCTGCACTCCCATCCTGGCCCAGTGGCCTTAGGGGAGGATTAAAGATAAGTAGCCCCAGATGTGGCCTTTCTGCTGGGAGAGGCCACTTTTCCCACAAAACCTGTGTGGGGAGGGAAGCTGATGACTCAGTTGTCTGGGGGAGGGCAGAGAGCAGCGGTCAGAGTTCAGAGTGGTGGCACATGCCCACCTTGAAGAGGCGGTAGGCGTACATGTCATTCATGTCCACGTTGACCATTCTGAGCAGACTCTTGATCTCTTTGAAGCTCATCTTACTGTCCTGGTTGGAGTCTGCCCGGTGCAAATAGCAGTGGATCCAGGTGTGAGTGCTCAGGAAATACCAACCACAGGCTGGGCACCGCTCCCAGATGACCGGTTACTGACAGGCATGTTACCACCACCAGAGGACTCCCATGTGTAAGGAGCCTGTGGGCTCCCCGAGTACAGCAGTGGGGTGTCCTCTATGGGACTGGGGCTCCCCGGAGCCGCGAGGCCGCGTCTCCACCCTCAGTTCTAAAGACAAGGGGCTCTAGCTCAGACCGTGGACCCCCTAAGGACCCGGCTATATCTCCCCTCGCCTGGGGTCCTCCAGGCACAGGGCTGGCCTCCCTTCACACCCAAGCCCTCCACCCTTGCCGGCAGGATATTGGTCGAGGCGCTCGCGCTGGCTCATGGCGTCGAGGCGCGTGCGCAGCTTGGCCAGTCCGCGAACCCATTGCTGAGCTTCCTCCGCGGTGGGCGCCACCAGGTCCAGGTTCTTGCGGCGGCCCTTGAAGGCGATGGTGAGGCAGCGCGCAGGCGCGAAGGCACCGCCGAAGCGCCGCAGGCCCTCGGACTGGTGGCCCTCGCGGACGGCCTCAATGTGCTGCACGAAGACTGTGGGGGAGGGACAGCCACACGCAGCCGATCAGAGGCGGCAGGCCGGCCAGGCACTGGCCCTAGCCCGCCCAGCGTCCACCCGCCTTGGCTCACAGATGTGCTGCGACGGTGCGCGCGGGATTTTCCGCTGGAACCACACGCTCAGGCCGTCCTCTTGCAGCCGGTACAGTCGCTCCTTCTGCCATGTCCTCGAGCGGATCTTGCAGAGCCGGGAGCCCCGCAGCATGGCTCGAACGTCCTCATCCTCAGTCAGGCCTGCGGGGTGCAAACGCTGGGAGTTTGGGTGGGTGGATCGCCTTCGTGGAACATGCCCCCAGCACTGGGGTTTGACTCGAAGCTTGGTGTGCCCCACCCAGGCCCCCTTGGGAGGGGTGCCAGTAATAGGCCCTTTCTCCCTGCGAAGCAGCAACATCTGAGGCCCTAGAGCAGAGCAACCCCTCAGGCCACACGTGGGACTCAGGCCTCACCAAAGGTCACCCTTTCTGCCACACCCCTCCATCATAGCCTCCAGCCTTCAAGCCCAGAATGTCACCAAGTTTTTGCCCTTGATGTGAAAACCTGGCCATCAGGAAAGCAGTCTCATGATCTAACTAAATCTCTCCTGCTGCCACCCAAGCTCCTCACCTCTGCTTTCCCCAAAACAAGGGAGGTCAGCAGAAGCCACTGTGGCTTCAGGATCCCAGGTCAAGGCCTCTAGGACCTGCCTTAGCTCTCCTGACGCTGGTCTCTAGGTGTCCTTTTTGTGCCCTGGTGGTACCCGGTGAAAGCATGGTCTCCTGTGACATTTGGCACTCCCCCTTGCCCAGCCACTGTCACAACCTCATGCAACCCCCCGCAGCCCTCATGCGCTCTCCGGTCACAGTGTCCACCTTCCTTAATAAGACAGAATGCTCACAAAATACCTACCGCACACACTGCAGCCCCTGCTCATGTATTAACACACGAGGAAACAAGTACACAGAAGATTCAGCCATTTGTCAAAATTCGACGGCTTTCCAGGAAGTGGTGGAAGCAGGTTTCAAACCCTGGAGGTCAGGCTCCGGGACTTTTGCCCTTGGCCATGACACCGAACCCCTCTGTTCCTGCTCCCATCTTCCCGACCCCACTCACCTCCGCTACCACCCGGGGCAAGGGTAGATAGGAAAGAGCAGAATTTATCTATTTATTTCGTATTTAATTTAACTAAAAGAAAAAGTTCACCAGTTTCTCCTACACCCCACCCCCAACCCCTGCCCCTGCCTCGGGCAACCGCCAATCTGTTCTCTGTATCCATGAGCTTGTTTTTTGATTAATTTATTTATTTTGAATTCCTCATGAGAGATACTACAGTATTTGTCTTTCTCTTTTGATTTATTTCACTTAGCATAATGCCCTCAAGGTCCATCATGTTATTGCAGATGGCAAGATTTCATTCTTTTTTATTCCACTGTGTTTGTGTGTGTCTGTAATCTCACACACACACACACACACACATACACACATGCATATATGTGTGTGTGTGTGTGTATATATATACATATATATACACACACATCACGTTTTCTTTATCCATTCATCCATAGATGAACACTTTCATATCTTGTCTGTTGTAAATAAGGCTGCAATGAACATGATGTATATGTCTTTTCAAGTTAATATTTTCATTTTCTTCAGATAAATGCCCAAAAGGAGGATTGCCAAGTCCTATGGTAGCTCTATTTTTAATTTTTCGAGGAACCTCCATACTTTTTTCCATAGTGGCTGCACCAATTTATGTTCCCACCAACAGTGCACGT